ATTTGGGTAACATATGACTTTGGAGAATGCCTTTTGAAATTGACAGTTATCGTAAACCGGCCCTATCAATGCAAGAAATATTGCGATATTCAGATTGTTATGTATAGGATACTAACAACAATGCGCTCAATACTTCCCTTCCAACACATCAAACAGAATGGATTATTACTACTGTTGACTGGTAAAACAAAATTCATTGGAAAACTAAGGTCAGTAGATCAGCTATCTTCACCGGCCGAATTTCTCGTTAGCTATCAGTTCTTTCACGATTAGGAATGGTGCGTGAGTAGTTTGAAGTCAAATGATTTATGAGTTTATTTAAGTTAGAAAATTTTCATTCATTGGTTTATTGATTGTGCACTGAATGAAAACAGATAAGCTCTTTTGGATAAGGATATTCATCAGAATAAAGATCCTCGTGAATCAGAAATCATTTATTAGGAAGCAAGAACTTCTAAGTTTCTTTGCGTATAATATTTTCCAAATCTGAGCTGTAACTTTCGAACTAATAAAAGTTTTATCGTAGCACTCAAGGTCGCTGAAATTCAAACGGCGATACAAGAGAACTAAGAACATTGCACTAGGAGATGAAGTTCACAATATATGCTCTTCACCCAAACTGAGAATCATACAGCAAGAGTTCGATCGATACACATGGTTCACACAAATGAACGGTTCGTGTGCAAATGTCTCATCTGTTTTGCGCGAAAACCGTACGGTCTCGGGGGTGTATGTGTGCATTCGCATCAAGCCATGGGTCTGATTAATTGTCCAAGCACCAGTTTTTTTCTAATCGTGCGGAGATCGGTAGACCACAATCCGGAAGACAGATTTTTTTACCCAACTAAAGTTCCCGTTATGCGTATCATTCATGATAGCGAACTGTTAATTGATGAACTATGTGATCTGCACATTGCTGCTTGCTCACCGATCTTACTTTCAACGGATCTCAGCCAAACACCCAACCTCATTCGCGCGTTCTTCTCAGGAGCATGTACTTGCATAGATATACGCCAATTTCTGTATGTGCGTATGGATGGATGGATGGATGGATGGATGGATGGATGGATGTGTGTGTGTCCATGTATGTCCAGACTATTCAGATGTTCGTACGTGTATTCCCTGCTGATAATGAACCTGTCCAATGCTCTTTGTTAGCCATGGCAATATTTTTTTCTAACAAAGTGTATTCCATGTATGTGAAATCAATGATCTCTCAGTGATTGAAGCGCACAGCCACAGCAAATGAGCATTACATGTGGAGCCTAACACTACGAGATTGGAAAATAAATTAACCATATGAATTTCGTTTGCCTACTGAATTCATATTCAGTAGGCACTGTACAATAATCAAATTTGTGAAACTGTTCGTATGTTCGCCACATCTGCGAGTGGAAATTTGTTTTATTAATGTGTTCTGTCCAAATAAAATTGAAATGACCCAAATTTGAACAGCGATTAATAAGGCTGAATACCACACAACACACATCGATTTTCCGCTTGATTTTATTCATAGCTAATTCATTCTGTCATAAACGGATGAGAAGCTTACATGTATGAACGCACATTCAAGAATAGTAATTATTCAAATCCCGAATGTTTGGCGCCAAAATCTGAGTTCGCTTACTTTGACCTCATTGGGATTGTACTAGGGTGCGAATAATAAACGCTGGAGTAAGTAGACGCTGAGTTGTATACTTGAGGAGTCCTGTGGTACGAAACGGTGAATATACACTACTGATGAGCTCTAATAAGAGTGAAACTCGAGTTTAGTGCTTCCGAGTGTATGGTTGAATCGATGAACTGAGAATTGTGCGTGAAGTTAAGTCTGAAGGATAGTCAGTTCAAATCAATTAATCACAAATTTATTCTGTTATCTCACAAGATTTAATCGTGTTGTCATTGAAGGGGAAAACATGCTTATATTTGAGGATGATGTGATGGATTTGCTCCAAACAGCCAGGAACTGAACAAAATTCATTCACTAAGCAGAATTTCTAATCCCCTGATACGGTTAGTTTCCTTCGTTCATGCAACGGTGGTGGCCCGGTCCTAACGTCACTAAACTTTTAGCCCGGAGGACATGTGTTCGAGTCCCACTACCACCGCCTGACTTTCCCCATTGTATATTGTATAGTGGCTCCTTGATTGGTCGCCTTTCCCTTCCTGAAAATCGCATCTTTCTATGCATTCACATGTGATGGAAATGTCTGTGATGACCAACAAAGAGCACTGGACAGCTGTTTCGTCCTGCTTGGGACTCGTGAGCAGTGCGCACTTTTTGTGTCCCCGTGTCAGGACTCGAACCGCGATTAGTTGGGTCGGGACTTCAAACCCTTAGCCGTGAGCTACACGGTCGACGGTTATCACCTTGTGCGAATGACTCGATCAATTTAGAGTATCGAGCTTGGATTAGCCTATATGATTGTTCAGAGGCACCAGGCACTCTTGATTTCAGAGGGGAATTAACGATCTCCCAAGGAGTGAAACCTACAACGAAGACCATCAAGAGTGCCTGGTGCCTCTGAACAATCGAATGGGCTAATCCAAGCTTGATACTCTAAGGCAACTTTGTATATTTAATAAAATGAAGATGATGAATCTAAAACGTAGTCACCGGTGTCCGTACAGTGGTCGACGAGAGAAAAATGAACGTGGGGAGAGATAGATTATTTACTTTAAAGTTCAGCTGTATTCTAAACAAAAGTTCATTTCTGGAACTTTATCCAATTTACCAGGTTCACTTAGCTGATTAGAATGATTAGAGGACAATAAAGAGCACAAAAACCACAACAAAGTGAAGATCAGGAAGATAACTGACCAATGGAACTTGTCCTTTTGAAACCTGATGGTATTGATCAATTTTTGGGGCAATTTGATGTCTAACGGATCTGAACAATGGCAAAGTCACGAACCTCTTCAATCAAAACGGTCTACACGGACTAACGGGGCTCAGCTCCGCAGTGTCTGCGTCAAGGTCCAATTTATATCGATTTTTTGGCCTCACCGCGCACACAAGTTTGCAATGTTTTGGTGAGCTTTTCAAAGTCACACTTACCAGAAACATTATTCGAGTATGAGAATGTACGGCAGTGTTGGATAGATCCGTTACTCACTTCAAATCTTTAAACAGTTTTAAATGTATTTTTACTTTTTTGTTATTTATTGAATATACAAATGGGCAGTCAACTTTCAGGAACGGGCAGCAGCCATACAAAGGCTTCCTGGGAAAATACAGAAACAAGGGAGACGGGTAGCGGTGGAGCGATCCGGACCCGGAACTCCCGGGTCACGATTTGGTAACCTAACCACCTAGCCACCGGCATTTATTCGATCAACAGTAACATCATCATCTATCTTTACTTACTTGCGTAATTGTTTCAATCTGTCTATCTCCTGTTGATATTTCTTCACCATACTTTCTGTTCTATCGAGTCGAACTTGAAGTTCCTAAAAAAGGGAATTAAAACCGTACTTTATTTCAACATGAAAATGTTCACAGAATTTTTCTGATAACTTTACAAAACGTGGACTCGTAAAACCCCTGTTTCATGGAGTCAGAAATTTTTTTCCAGGAACACTGCGAGAAGAAGAACAGTTCCTAAAGAAAACTTTGCATTTAGACAGTTACTCAAGAAGATTCATTGAGCTCCATAGTAAAAAATCTCAAAAAGGTAACCTCTTTCCAAATATTCACCCAGAAAGTCCTTTTCAATTAATTATCTATCAAGGATGATCAGCTAGAACGATGTGCACGCAGCTTTAAAGTCCTCCCGGAACCGCGCAGTCCCAGCTAATAAACTTCAACTTGCTGCCCCGACCCGTGAACTGGATTTTGATAAACTTCTCTCCCGCAAACACTGTATACCAGTTCCCTTGCAGTTACGGTATCGCATACATAGGCAGGACCAACCGTCAATTATCACACCGGATGACCGAGGACGCAAACCACGCTCGATAATAGTGTGATCACAACCAGACACATAATTGATCCCGCTTCTTCATTCGAAAACCCTGATTACGTAACCGCAATGCAAAACTGTTAGCAATCGGTGAGGCGTTATTATTCAAAAGACATCATCTCGTTTTTGTTCCCAAAGATTATTTTAGGCACTCAGTTCACTGTTCTTGGAGTTGATCTCATACTTATTATTTTAAATTTGTATGGCCTCTATCTATCTGTACAGGTTCGTTCACTAGGATAACTAGGATAACCCAACACGGATCCAATACTATGAGCACGAGGCATAATTGTTTCGAAGACATCCGTTCCAAATTTTGATCTGATACCGTGCTGTATATGTGCCTGTTTGTTTTTCGCAAGCGAACGAGAAGATTAAATGAGATGTTAACATCTTGCGACGTGCGTCTTTTTTCGGTCTTGATGCGATGTATAAAGGAGAGCGGGTGTTTCAAATAATTTTATTCGCAAGAAAACTTGTCTGTGTATTTCTGAACACATTAGTGTTCACAGTTTATGTCATTCAGTATATCATATATCAAATCGTATAGACGATTTAAATTCCCGTATTTGTATGGATTTC